TTGAACAAAGCCCAATGATGCTTCTATTTCTCTGTTTTTGCAAAATTGACTCCCAGCAATGATTTTAGAAAGCTAACAACCATAGGGGAAAATTATGCGTGTATGATCATTTTCCCCTCTGTGTACCCATTAGGGTAAGCATTATCTCCCTAATATTTACTAGGCACTGGAGAGAAGAGCTCAAGAAGTTCACATTCTAGGCACAGAAACAAATCTATTATACAATAAATACCATTCAGGTGACAGTAGCTTGTCCTGGGGAGATCCCTTTCTTAAATCCCTTTTGGTAGGTCAAGTTCCTTTCCTGCTGATCTTCCTTCCTGCCCCCACAATAGAATAATGGTCTTTTTCTCCTTCTGAGTAGCTAACTGGATTATCCTATTGTGATTTCTGTTTTCCTCAGCTAAGTCATACTGATGCCTGTGTGTATCTTACCATAGAGCATCAAAAGTTGAAAGAATACATAAAACAAACTTGCTGGGATGTGTCAAGTTGCCATCAGAGAACAGAGGGACCTGTCCACTTGCCACCAGTGGGAGATTAGTTTACTCTCACTAGGGCCCACCCCATAATTCTATCTTGAAAAAGGGAAGGTAAAGGAATGAAAACATCAGCTACTCCCCTGAAACAGTGAGGGAAATCCTGTGTGTCTGAAACCTTACAAAACAAGAGGCGCAGAACAGGAGGAAGAGGGAAAGAAGTCTCACCAACAAAGAATGGATGCCAGTGCATGTCCCACATGAATACTGCTGAATACAGTTTTATACCTTAAAAACTGAAAGAGCAGTGGGGAAAAACCCACCTTTGAATTAATATGTATCTCCTAATGTCCTAAAATGTCCACCTCACTGCTCATTTTAAAAGAATTAAAAGTAGAGACAAGAACAACCCTTGGTTTTGGCAAGCATCTAAAACAAAGCTATTAATTCAAGGTTTCTCAAGAGCAGCACTATTGATATTTAGGGATGGATAACAGATAATTCTTTGTTGGAAGGGGCATTGTCCTGTGCACTGAAGGATTTTCAGCAGCATCATTGGCCTCCACTCCCTTAGATACCAGTAGCAACTTCAAGTCATGACAATTAGACATGTTTCCAGAAATTGTTATATGTTCCCCAGGGAGGAAAACCAACCTTTGGTTGAGAACTGGGGCTCAACTGGCAGTAGGCGGTACGAAGTGTGGTAAGATGTGGTCAAAAGGAAACAGGGATGTTTTGGGAAGTCATCCCAAATAAGGTAATGCTTGAGCTGAGATCTCAAGGGTGAATAGGAGTTACACAGAAAGCCAAATAAACCCTTTCCCTATGAGTAAATTTAACTGGATTGTTCAAAATCCAGCACATTCAGGGTCAATACTGGCAATTCCTGACTCAGTTCCTTCTCCAAATTGTACAGGTACAGTTGCTGTGTCACACTCTTCTTCTACCATTATATGTCTTAAACAATTTACACTGCTGAAAGATGTGTAGTGTAATAAATAACAGTACTGTCTCAATCTCTACCTGGCAACATGATCTTGGGGAAGTCATCTCACTTCTGGGACTTTCAGTGCCTTTGTCTACAAAATGATGCTGTTCAATTAATAGATGACTTCAACTGCCCTTTCAGATTAAGAAATTCTTTAGTAAATCTTTCTTATTTTTTAGAGTAGTCTCTCTCCTCATTAAAATGGACAGCCTTCATGTTATATTGATTTGCAGTGGGTACTAATCAAACAGCAATTCTAATAAGTTGGGTACTGCAAACTGATTAGAAATGCATCCTCAATTTTCATGTTCCTCTGGGGAAAATTAATCAGATTCAAAGAAGAAATCGCTCACCCTTTGGACACATCCCAATATTACGGCATTGACAGTGAATTAAATTGCCCCGGATTGCATCAGTTTCAGAGTTACAACCTTGTTATATACCAGCCTGTCACAGAGATACACATGTAACATATTAATATACTTCAAAATTTCTGAAATGTTTCCACAAAGTGAGAAAACAACTTAGTTCAATACCTAAAACCTATGGAGATACTTTTTAAGAAGTCTTTATTTTTTTAAAAGAATTTTTAGGGTATTAGCAAAACTGAGTAGAAACTACAGTTTTTATTTACCCTTGTTCCCATTCACCCACAACCTCCTCCACTACCGGAGTGACACATTGTTAATTGTCATCATCACCCAAAGCCCATGGTTTGCATCAGGGTTTACTCTTGGTGTACATTTTATGGTTCTGATGAATGAAGGTAAAATGACATGCTTCTGCCCATGTGGAGTAGTTGAACTGCTCTAAAACTATTCATCCCTCCTCCCCTGTAAGTCCTGGCAACTGCTGGTCTTTATACTGTATCTTTAGTTTTGCCTTCTCCAGAATGGCCTACACTTGAAATCATACAGTATATAGCCCTTACAGATTGGCTTCTTTTATTTAGTAATATATATTTAAAGTTCCTCAGTGACTTTTCATGGCTCGATAGCTCATTTCTTTTTAGCACTGAGTATAAGCAGAAAAGTCTTAGTCAAGTGAACAAAAGCTTCACCTGAATCAGACAGTTACATTCCCTCAATTCCCAGACTTGAGCCAGTTTACAGACCCATAGCCCCTCTAAAGAAGGGGAAGTCAGGCCCCTTGAGGAAGGACCCCAGTACGCTGTCAAAACATGTACTGTTAACCTTCTTCCTAAAGGGATCTATGGCCTTTTACCAAGGTAACCATACATTGGGGAAAAGGAAATAATCAGAACTTTGGGGGATTCCTGAACACTGGCTCTGAACTGACACTAATTCCAGGAGATGCCAAGATCACTACACTCTACTAGTCAGTGTGGGGGTTATATGTATCAGATGATCAATCAAGTTTTAGCTCAGGCCCATCTATCTCACAGTGGATCCGGCTGGTCCCTGAATTCCTCCTGTGGTTGTTTCCTAGTTTCAGAATCCATAGTTGGAATAGATACAGGTAGCAGCTGGTGGAATCTCCACGTTGGTTCCCTGACCTGTGAAATGAAGCCTATGATGGTAAACTGGCTAACTAGAATGGAAGCCACTGGATCAGCCTCTACATAGGAATATAGAGAGCCAACAGGAATTCTTCAATCCTGGAGGGACTGCTGAGATTAGAGCCAGCACTGAGGATGTGGGAGGCATGGGTGGTGATTTCTAGCACATCTCCATTCAACTTACCTATTTGGTCTGTGCAGAAGACAGAACTTGGAGAATGACAGTGGACTAATGTGAGCTAAGCCAGGTGGTGACTCCAATTGCAGCTGTTGTGCCAGATGTGGTATCACTGCTTAAGGATATTAACACATCTCCTAGTACCTGATTTGCAGCTTTTCATCATGAAAATGGCTTTTTCTTCATCCCTATCAATAAGGCCCACCAGAAGCAGTTTGCTTTTAGCTGGAAGGGCCAGAAATATACTTTCACTGTCGTACCTCAGGGGATTGTCTCAGCTATCCAGACCTCAGGCTGTAAAATCACAATCTGTAGGGATTTTGATCCTTTTCCCTTTGACAAAGTTTTATACTGGTCCATTACCCTGCTGATGTTATGCTGATTGTACCTAGTGAGCAATCAGTAGCAACTACGCTAGATTTATTGCATCCCAGAGGGTGGGAAATAAAACCGGCAAAGATTCAGGGGTCTTCTACTTCAGAGAAATGTTTCAGGGGTCCAGTGGTGTTGGACCATGATGTGATATCTCTTCTGAGAGGAAGGATGAGTTGTTGCATTTGGCTCCTCTAACAACTAAAAAGGAGGAACAATGCCTAGTAGGCTGTTCTGGATTTTCAAGGCAAATCTTCATTTGTATGTGTTACTCTGAGCAATTTACTGAGCTATCCAAAAAGGGACTAGGCCATCATCAGACACATGTAAATGAACTGCAGTGGAGGCTTGAGGATTTTAAAGCAAGGCACTTCCATCATCTCAATTTCGCTACTCTCTTTTGGGAAATAGCTACTGGGCCTTAGTAGATACTGAACACTTAACAAGAGGTAGAGAAAACACAGGCATGGTTACAGATGGTTCTGCATGATATGCTGGCACTGCTGGAGAGAGGACAACTGCAGCACTGTAGTTTCTTTCTGGGACAGACCAGAGTGCACTGGTAAGAGAAATCCTCCCTGTGGGCAGAACTCTGAGCAGGTACCTGTTGATCATATTGCTTAAGAAATGGTCAGATATGCATCAAGGTCTGTGGCTAATGGTTTGGCAAAACGGTCAGGAACTTGGAAGGAACATGACTGAAAAATTGGTGACAAGAAGATTTGGGAAATGTTTGCCAAATAGTTTCAAGTAAAACTACCTTTTTAAAAAATATTTCATTTTCCATCTGTTTTTAATTCTCCATCTTCTTTAATTTATTGTTCACCATAATACATGCTAACCTACTGAAATTTCTGAATAGCAACTACTAAACCATGTAAGTTAAATAAAGGAGTAAAAAGAATCAATCAATCCCCCTAAACACATACCTAGTTTCTCTCTCTGCCATTATCCGTTCAACAGAATTGTGAGATTGTTGAGCATGCATTATTTATACATCACAATTACTATTCTGTCTCTAAGTGTGACTCAGAATGCAGTCTTGTTATGAAGATATTTTATTACAGACATTCTATTTTTGTAACACAACAAATTTAAGTCCTATTTATTTCCCAATCTGAATGGGACGTTATAACTCAGTACTTCAGTCACTAAAGTAATCTGCCAACTTTGGTTATAAAACCATAATACAAGACCAATTTATGTTAATTAAAAAATAAGTATTGAACAATATTATTATGAACATTTTAATACTTCTGGAAAAAGAGGAAACTGATTGAAATAAATAATTTTGCTAGTGTTGGAGAAACATTGGGAGTCTTCCAGTCCAAAACTATTCATTGCCTTTGCTTCATTTTTGGTGGCATTTTTAGGAGGATAGACATTAAACCGGAATAATAAAACCAGTGTAGTTGAAACTGATAGCTTTGCCATACGTATATAGAAAATAGTTATATTCGAAGCAAGCTTCCTAAAACGAACGACCCTAGCCTGCTCCTCTTGCAATGGAGACGGTCATTTCTCCAGATAGTTCCCCAGCTCTGGAAAATGAGCATCCTCAAGAGACCTCCGAATCCAACAATAGTGTGTATACTTCCTTCATGAAGTCTCATCGCTGTTATGACCTGATTCCCACAAGCTCCAAATTGGTTGTATTTGATACATCCCTGCAGGTGAAGAAAGCTTTCTTTGCTTTGGTGACTAATGGTGTACGAGCTGCCCCTTTGTGGGATAGTAAGAAACAAAGTTTTGTGGGCATGCTGACCATCACTGATTTCATCAATATCCTGCATCGCTACTATAAATCAGCTTTGGTACAGATCTATGAACTAGAAGAACACAAGATAGAGACATGGAGAGAGGTGTACCTACAGGACTCCTTTAAACCGCTTGTCTGCATTTCTCCTAATGCCAGCTTGTTTGATGCTGTATCTTCATTAATTCGAAACAAGATCCACAGGCTACCAGTTATTGACCCAGAATCAGGAAACACCTTGTACATCCTCACCCACAAACGCATCCTGAAGTTCCTCAAATTGTTTTTCTCTCCTCAGATCACAGAGTTCCCTAAACCAGAGTTCATGTCTAAGTCTCTGGAAGAGCTACAGATTGGCACCTATGCCAATATTGCTATGGTCCGTACTACCACCCCTGTCTACGTGGCCCTGGGCATCTTTGTTCAACACCGAGTCTCAGCCCTGCCAGTGGTGGATGAGAAAGGGCGTGTGGTGGACATCTACTCCAAGTTTGATGTTATCAATCTCGCAGCAGAAAAGACCTATAATAACCTAGATGTGTCTGTGACTAAAGCCCTGCAACATCGATCCCATTACTTTGAAGGCGTTCTCAAGTGCTACCTGCATGAGACTCTGGAGACCATCATCAACAGGCTGGTAGAAGCAGAGGTTCACCGACTTGTCGTAGTGGATGAGAATGATGTGGTCAAGGGAATTGTATCACTGTCTGATATCCTGCAGGCCCTGGTGCTCACAGGTGGAGAGAAGAAGCTCTGAGCTGGGGGAAGGGGTCAGGTATCACCAGGGGATGTGCCCCACTCACTGCTAGAAGCTCTGGGAATCAGGTGAAACTTGTGAGGACTGTGACTCTGTTCCCTGCTCAGGAGCCCCCTACCCTTCTATCTGGGTTATGTGAGGCATAGTGGGGGAAGAAGAATGGATTTTTAGCTGCCCTTACCCTGTCACATATACTAGAAGAAAGCTAGCCAATTCTTGCCCTGTCCTTTTAGATATAACCCCCTTGCTGGGTGAACTATGGGCTTTGTGCCCCTCAGGCAAATTTTGATCTCTAAGAGATCCCCAGACCTCACACTGCCTTTGCTTCCATCTCTGCCGTGACTCTACCCAAAGATAATAGCACAAAAAAACTCTTCATAAAGGTATTTGTATTCATCCTCTTTCATGCCATTTGGAGGAGGCTGGGTCAACATAGTGACACTTCCCATAATATGAGCAGGGAGGAATGTAGGGAGGCCTTTGGGTTCTTGTGCTGCATGCAGATGAAGGGAGATGGGGCTTAGGTGGAGGAGGAGGACACAGTGATTAGCCAAGATTATTGCTTTTCATGGCAAATCTAATTAAATGACAAGAATCTTGTCATGGTAAAAAAAAAAAATAGTTATATTCAATATAAACATCATTTCCAGTATTCTAGAGGTATCTACCACAGGAATATTGGTCATTTAATAAACTATACCGGCATATACTATGCACACTTTGGTATTTGGTATAAAGAAAAAGTAAGTAATATTCTGACTTAAGGATGTTGCAGGGTGCTTGGGGATACATACTTTAATAACATAAAATATATGCAAAGAACATAAACTTGAATGATCATTAAATAAAGCAACATAGGAAACTGTTAAGAAATACATAATATAATAAAGAAGCAATCAAAACAATTGGGAGGCTGATAATAAATAATTGATTCAGAAAAAAGTAAGTTTTGGAAGGGTAAAACAGAGCCTTTATGAGAAAAAGTAAAAGGTGTGGACAAAAATATATCAGAACGAACACGAAATATCACTGCTTTATATAACTACCTGGTGATGAATTTTTGCTGATTAACCAGAAACAAGGAGCCTTGAAACAAAGAAAATGCATTCAGGTTTTCTACAGAACCCTATTTTTATCACTGAGATCACATGGAACAGGAGTTGAGAGCTTGTAATCTGGAGTCAGATCTCCTGAGTTCAAACCTGACTTTGCCACTACTCAGCTGTGTGACCTGGAGGGACTTACTTGACTTCTCGGTATCCCAGTTCCTCATCTTCAAAACAGAGAGAGCAGCAGATCTGCCTGGGCCTCATGGTGCTGCATCTGCTCAGTTTAGGTGGGAATTACATTTCCCAGAATTCCTGGCCCTCTATGGCTCGAGTTATTCTGGTCAAACAAGACTTCTAATCACAGACTAAGTGCCTGATGGCCCCAAAAAGCTTCTTTTGGAATAGTGAAATTCTATTTCAAATGATGTTTGTTAACTATTCACATCCATCCCTGTAACACCTCCCCCCCTTTTTTGGTAATGAGCTTTACAAAATGCTGTAGTAGATGAGGTAGATAGCATCAGATTATACACGTCAAGCCCAAGATGAACTATCACAACTCATTTGTATTTCAGTTGTTCCCAGCTAGGTAAATAGCTGAAAGCTGGATGAGAGAAGGATGATGATATGATGATAATGGAATGCTAGGATGCTATTATCACAAATTTATCACTGAATATGATAAAAAATATATAAGCTAATTATTTTATATTTTCCCAGTACTTTTCACTGTCTTTATTCATCTAATCTTGCCAAGAACATATTGAAGTGTTTTGAGACAATTGCAGAATTATTGTCTGTCAGAGATAAGGAAACTGACTCAGATTATTTAGTAGACTCAATATCTAACTGGTGGTTACTTCCAATTAAATTTCATAATATTTTAGTATTTTCAAGTGGCCTTTGGGGCACCAAAATCATTATGGCAGGTGCAAATAAAGACCATAGAGAAAAAGTAACATTTAGTTATCCAATTTGGTTGAGATTATGTATAGTGGGAAATTTCTTAGAAGTGCATGTGAAAGGAATATTTTTAGAGAACAATAAGAACCAGTGAAGCAGTAATAAGAACAGCAAATAGCTACGTTTTTACTCTCAGATGTCTGTATTGCTTCAAGGGTAGGTCCTGCCCACGTGGCCTGATGAATGAATACTACATGACTCATGGGAGGTGGGGTCTGTGGTACCTAAGCAGCTGCTGCTTCTCACTCCCCATTGAACACATTCCCAAATAGCAAAGAGAATAACTCAAAGATAGTAAAGTGGGCGTCTGGGTCAACTATTTGCAGGTAGTCATTTAAGTTACCTCACCCTTCCTGCATGTTCAAACCCAACACACACCAGAGGGAAAAGAGGTGAGTGATCTGTACACCTACTATGTACTTAAAAATAGAAAAAGTTATTATCACTTACCCTCTCATTTCAGGCAAAATAATGCTCATCTGGCCACCAGTTCTTTTTCCTTAGGGTAAATGTTGCTTGTAACAGAAGCTATCAATCTTACTACAAGTGAGAATGATCTATACGCACACCATGGAATATTATGCAGCCTTAAAGAAAGATGGAGACTTTATCTCCATGTTTACATGGATGGAGCTGGAACATACTCTTCTTAGCAAAGTATCTCAAGAATGGAAGAAAAAGTATCCAATGTACTCAGCCCTATTATGAAACCAATTTATAGCTTTCATATGAAAGCTATAACCCAATTATAGCCCAAGGATATGGGGAAAGGGGAGGGGGGGATGGGTAGAGGAAAGGTAATTGGTGGGACCACACCTACTGTGCATCTTACAAGGGTACATGTGAAATTTACTAGGTGTAGAATATAAATGTCTTAACACAATAACTAAGAAAATGCTGTGAAGGTAATGTTAACCAGTTTGATGAAAATATTTCAGATTTTATATAAAACCAGCACATTATACCCATGATTGCATTAATGTACATAGCTATGATTTAATAATTTAAAAAAAGACAACTTTGATGCCCAGGCTGCACTCTGTACCAACTATATCCAAATCTCTGGGAAGTAGGGCTGGTACACTGGTATTTTTAAAAGTTCCCTACATGACTCTAATGTGCAGTCAAGTTGAAGAAAAAGGAATGCCACAGAAATGCAGTTACTGATGGGCTAGATCACAACTATAAGTAAGTCCACACTGAGGCCATTGGTGTCATCAAGTTCTGAGTAAACTTTCCAAGATACACAATACAGTATGAAAAATGTATGCATACATATTTTAAAGTATTAATAAAAGGTAGCATATTATACCGATTGGTCTGCTAATTACTGTTTTTTTCTTACACTTAATAATATATTTTGGAATTGTCCCAAATCAGTACAAATACAAATAATTCAGTCAAAACTATTAAGAAAGGGTATCATTGTCTTACCACAAGTAAGTAAGTGAGGTGATGGATGTGTTAATCAGATCGATGTAAGCATTTCACGTAGTACATCAAACCAGTACACTGAACCCCATAAATGCATCAATGTAAACCTATGATTGAATTAAAAAAGTTTCTTTTGAAATAATTTTAGATTTAAAGAATGGTTGCAAAGATGATAGATATATGCCCTTCATCTACTTTCCCTAGTGTTAACATCTTACAGAACAATGGTATCTTTGCCAAAAATACAGTAAGAAATCAACTTTGGGGTCGGGCATGGTGGCTCACACCTATAATCCTAGCACTCTGGGAGGCTAAGGCAGGAGGATCACTTGCGCTCAGGAGTTTAAGACCAGCCTGAGCAAAGTGAGACCCTGTCTCTACTCAAAATAGAAAAATTAGCCAGGCATGGTAGTAGATACCTATAGTCTCAGCTATTAGGGAGGCTGAGGCAGAAGGATCACTTAAGCCCAAGAGTTAGTTTGAGGTTGTTCTAAGTTTGGCTGAGGCCATGACACTATAGCCTGGGTGACAGAGTAAGACTCTGTTTCAAAAATAAATAAATTAAAAATAAATTAACCTTGGTATACTGTTCCTGTAAAGAACTCCAGACTGTGTTTACCAGTTTTTCACTGTCCCTTATCTGATTAAGGGTCCAACTCAGGGCATCACACTGCATTTAGTTGATATGGCCCCTCAGTTTCCACTGGTCTGTGAAAGATCCTCAGTCTTTCCTTATTTTACATGAGTTTGACAGGTAAGAGTACTTGTCAGGCCTTTTGTAGAATGTCCTTCAATCTTTACAATGTTTTCCTTATAATGAGACTGGGGTTTTGGGTTTGGGGAAAGTATCACAGAGAGAGTTCCCTCCTCCCCATATCATATCAGGGGGTACATGTGATCGAATGTTTCATATCACCAGTGGTGTTAACTGTGATCATTGGTTACAGTGGCGTCTGCCAGGTTTCTATTCTTTGGAAGCGAAACTTTAAATCTAACCCACTCTCCGGCAGAGTGAAACTGAACTCCACCTCCTGGAGGAGGTTATATCTACAAATATTTGAAATTGTTCTGCAAAGGAGATTTGTCAATTCTCCCCTATTTACTTACTTATTCAATTAATTATTTATATAAGTAGGAACTCACAGATATTTATTTTATGCTTTGAATTTTAATCCAACACTACTATCTTTTATTTATTTTGCTGATCAAATTGTTCCAGCTTTGGCCATTGGGAACTAATTCAGGTTGGACCCTGTACCCCTGTGACATGCTCCATTCTTATTTTATCTTTTCCTTTTTATGATCCATTCTTCATTTTTTCACACTGTAAGATGCTCTGGATTCATCTTACATTTGATTCTTCTATTTCCCTTGCCCAAGTCCTAATATCAACTATTTCTCAAAGCACCAGAATTCCTTTTATTGGAGAGTGCTGTTTAGAAACCAAGACCTTGGCATTGGGTCTGCTCTTCACGACTATGTGTGACTGCTTCTCATCCCTCTCAGTAGACAGAACTAGGAAATAGATGTACACACATATCTCTATTTCTGTATCTGTGTATATATCTGCCATGTATATGTTTATATATTCACATGTATACATAAATGAATTCCTATTGATGACTCAGACTCTAATTCAACAATACAGGATGTATTCTAGGTGGTTCCCTTTGCTTATCTGTAACTTTAATCTGAGGATGATAAATCTGGATCCTATCATCTAAAATGTACATATATACTACATACAGTGTAGTTTCCAAATTGCTAATATGTATTCCTATGAGAAACAAATTTCCCAGCTAGAATATAGGCTAGAGCACCGTTCTTTTTACTTCTAGCTTTTCACTCTTCAGTCAAAACAATGCTTTCTTCTGAAGTTATTTAGGTAAATTACTTTTTCCCATTACCATCAGCGAGGTTCTGTCATACATTTGTAAAAATGTTAGATTTATTTGTCAGTCTGCATCCCATCTGGAAATCCCTAGACATCCTGGTTGATCTTCATAAAAATTTATTTGCGTATATTAAAGTTCACCCTCATGATGTACAATTCCCTGGAGTTTGATAAATGTGCAGAGTCATACTTCTGCCACCTGTGTAGCATTCAAAACAATTCCATCACACTAAAAATCCCCTGGTTTTAGAGGATCACCATCCTCTCCCCA